TTCACCTGCAAATAAGGTTGCAAATCAGGTTGCCCTTTAATAAGGTTGAAATGAAGGCAGAGCTGCACCTGTGTTATACCGCAACAACCAAAAGACACCAACATTGCTGGGTTCGGGGCCGCTGCTCAGGTGTGGGTTGTACTCTGCTCACCTGGGTATGCAATCATCGCAAGTTTGACTAATCACTGTCAACCAATGTTCTGGAAATGGCAGTTCAGCGCCAAGAGAAAGCAACCTCCTTTCCTTGTTTACACACGCCTTCCCTGGCGGTGGGAATGGGTGAGGGTCTGACCGTATTATTTATTAAGTATTTATCGTCTCTGTCTTTCTTACCTCCCTGACTTTGGGTGCCTGGGCTCTGCCCTCCAGGGGCTCGTGGGGGTGGGGGTGGAGTCCGGGGATGAGGCAATGATCACTGTAGCAGCTGAGAAGTGTGTGTAGCAGCCACTTGGAGAGACACCTGCTTCTAAAGGGCTGGTGGGGAGCTCCGGAGCTGGGGAGTCCTTCCCTGACAGCCGGAGAGATGACTTGTTCAGAAACCGCAAGGAAGTCAGTTTGACAGATCCGGGGCTCGGGATGAGGGAGGGGAGGCGAATGAAGTGAATAGTGCAAATAACCATTCCTTGTTTTATTTCATTTTCAAAATGTTTTAGATGGCATTTTCTCAAATCAGGACCCATTTCCATACCGAATGGAGTTTTAGCATTCTTATCTCTGTGTTAAACATTTCCACTCCTTTATTTTTTATCTCCAGAGTTCCATTAGCTCACTGATGTTGTGTGTCTAAAATGAAATACATTAGAAATTTCTAGCCACTTAATGGGCTGTCTCTTTCTCAGTTACCCTTTCGTGTTCAAATGTGCATTTTATTGTTTCTAAGCAATATATTTTTTGTTAAGTACAAAATTCATAAAAGATAATCTAGGATTTTTTTGTATAAATTGTATGTAAGACAAGATAATTCCCAAATTTAATTTTATTTTTCTACAGCCTTATATTTAGGAAAAATGTGAGCTTACTTGGTAAAATTAATTAAAGAAGGAAAAAAAGTCCGCTGAAGTCGTTATTTATTACTTTTAGATCGTTGTTTAGAATTTGTGCAATATCTAGAGTAAATTGATAGGCCCTCAAAATGCCTCCAAATGTTTTGTGCCCACATAATTTTATTTTATATTTTAATGTCTTTTCTGTAATGCATATTTATACACTTCAGCTTCCTTGAAAATTCTGAGCTTTTAGTATTTTTATGGCTACTAAATAAATAGTAATCATGATGACAAAAAAGGATTGAAGAGAAGGGAAAGTACAGAGCATGATTTTGATTTGTGAAATTTAGGCAGATGATGTATGTTGTTAATAATTTTTGTTGAGTCAAAGACTTAATGGTAAAAGAGAAATGATGATTCACTTTGTTATAAAAGTCACATTTGCTGATGGGAAAATGGCCACAAAACAGCGTAATGTGACCTTGGTTTCCATGTTCACTCCTGAGACATGACAACATGCCCTTTCTTACATATCCTTCCAGAAACACTCCTTTATAAACATATATTAAGAGAAAGTGGGTGTTTCCTTACAAGTAGGACTCCATGGCATATAGCTTGTTTTTTTTTTTTTTTTACCATTTAACATGAACTATTTATGATAATAATAATGTATAACAACCACAGCTACCCTTATTGTGCTAGGCACTATGCTAAATGCTTTAAATACACTATTCTTTTTATGTGCACTAGCCACTGACAGATAAGCTGAGGAGCAGAGAGGTTAAGAAATATGCCCAAGGTCACACAGCTGATAAGTGTGAGCCTGGGTTTCAAACACAGGGGGCTGACTGCAGAGCTGGGGTATCCAGTCACTATTTCTTCCTCATGAACATCATGAGGATGCGCTGTGCCAGCTCAGAGAGATCTCTTTGTTCTTTTTAATGTCCAGGTCCTATGCATGGGCTGCAAGCCTACTACTTCAGCGCTTGTGCTCTGGGGGTCTCCAGAGGCCAGTATCCACATCTATTTGAGGGCTTTTTCGAAGCCCCGGAAGCCCACACGGCAGCAGGCACTCCCACCCACCACCACTGAGTGGCCCTCCACCAAGGAGGTGAAACCCTAGCTCCCTCCCCTGGGGTGTGACACTGATGCCTGAATTCCACCTCAACTCCCTAGAAGCCCTCTCTGGGTCAAGCTCCAGTTACTCCTGGTAACTGGCTTGATCGCACACCCTTCTCGAGGGCACATGCCTGCCTCCTTACCCCACCTCCTCTGACTGTCAAACCACTTGCATTGATGCTTGGCCTACACTTTGCTTCTGGGACACCCAGACTAAGGCAGGCTGTGTGCTGTTCCACTGTACGAAGGTGCCATCATCTGTTCAATCAAGTCTCATTGGGGCAGATTTTTCCGAGCTTGCCCCTTTCGCTTGCTCCACCGTCACTCTGGGAGGGGGCTTTTGGGTTATATTTAATTCTCACCAGAATGGTCATGGCTTGGAGAAGTGTGATTTTTACTGTGTTAGAGAGCGTATGATGTATTTTGGGTGAAGTTTGGGTCAAATTCTCCTTCATGTTGGAGCCGGCTGGTCTGGACGGTCTGTTATCTACATTCTCATTCCCCACATCACTCAGACAGCTTACATGGAATGTGTAGAATGTAAGCAGCCAGCTGAAGGTAAACAGCAGCCGGTTAAGTCCCCACCCTCCATCCCTGTACCTGGCTGGCTACCTACTCCAACAAGATCTCCTTGCGTCAGTGAAAGCCTTGTTATAAACTTCACATTATAAAGCTTCTCTTTGCCGAAGGTAAAGGTATTATCTTAAGATTGCAAAGTGAGTTACTTAAAAAAACATACAATTCTAAGATACTCTCTGCCCATATCAAATTATAAACAGAGATTGAATGCTGGGGCTAAAAGCATCATTGAGAGACCCTGATTATAGATTTTAAGGTCATTCAAGTGGGCTCATTGCTCCCATACATTGATTATTTTATAAAAAGTAAATATGTTTGAATATATTAAATCAATTTTACATGTCATAAAGATTACCTTTGTAGAACTGCTTTTTTTAAAATTCAAAAACCACTTTCTTAACCGTAAGAGCCCAGGTAGAGTATGTCTGAAGCAGATGGGTGGGCAGGCTGGACCACCAGGCCTGTGAAAATAGCCACAGCCAGTCCATCCGTCCCTTACTCATTCAAAAGGAATTTTCTATGCTGAAGGCTGTGGTAGATGGTAGATGGAAATGTAACTGGGAAGCAGGTATCTCTGCCCTCTTAGTGCTAATATCTAATTGGAGAGGCAAACAATAAACTGATGAGCAAATAATTAAAAAATATGAAATGTTAAGGTGCTAAGGTGAAATAGGTGGGATGTCCTGAGTGAGACTAACAGGGGTGGGAGTGGGCTGCAGAACCTACTTCACTGGGGCAGGGATCAGGGGAGGCCCTTAAGGAGGTGGTGCTCTAGGGGAGATGCAGGTCAGGTGAAGATCAAGAGAAAGAGCAGCCCAGAGGGAAAGCCTGTGCCACAGTCCTACAACCCTAGGACCGGGAGAGCTGCGTGGCTGGAGAGTAGCAAGTGTGGGGCAGACACAACACATGGTGCAAGGGGCTCTGGGGCCCCAGGGAGGCCTGGAAGGTAAGGAGCAGAAGGTTTATTCTGCGCGCAGAGGGAAAACAAGGAAGGGTTTTAAAAAGTAGGTCAGTGCCATGCTTTGGTTATGTACTGATGTCACTTGGGTTGCTCTGCTGGAAGAGGCTTGGGGGAGGGTGGGAGGAAGCTGGAGAGCAATTTAGGGGCGGAGAGCAGTAGCCTCGCTGATGCTGGCCTGCAGCAGGGTAGCAGCAATGAAGACAGTGAGGTGGGTCAGCTTCGGATCTATTTTGGAAGTGAAATGCTGGGAATTGATCATGGATTAAATGTAGGTATGGCAGGAAGACCATCAAGGGTGACTCCCAGGATTCTGGCTGGATTAAATGGGAGGTAGGGAAGGTAGATGGAACATCAGATTTTGGGGGAAACCTGACTTCTGTTTTGGATTTTTTTTGTAAGTTGGAGGTGCAATTGTATCGATGTCAAGGGGGCAGCTGGATGTGATTATTAAGTTAAAGAAGTCTGTGCACAGATCTATTAAATGTGGGTATTAGAATCTGTGGCATTTAAAATTTCAGTCCTGGAGGGAAGCAGGGAGAGTGGAGAGAGTGATGGGGGCCTGGGGCAGAGAGGGGAGCAGTGTCGCGGGGACCAAGGGGGCTTGCTGCTCAGGGCCTCGTCTTCCTTACTCCACAACAGAAAGAGCTGTAAGACTCACAGCCGCTTATAATGGGCAATAACTGAGCGTGACTTTAGAACTGCAATGGGAACAGGAAAAGGCGAACAGGGAGTTACCCATCTTTGTACCAGAATTGCTCTCACTGTAGGTTCAGGGGGAGAACTGAGCTCATGAAACTTCTCCTAAAATAGGAGGTGACCTTTTCATTCATAGAAAGTTGGGTTGTATAAATGTACTGTGTCCTGGAGAGTATACTTTCGAATTATGAACATGAAAGCAGCTAAAAATGAATGTTTCTCCCTAAAAGGCCAATCATTAGCTATTTTAAGTATTAGAGAAAGAATTGGCAGTTTTTCCTCACTCTTAATTTGTGTCACTAGCATAATGGTAATAAGCCTTGATTTTTTTTTAAGTTCCTTGCTTCGTTAAATAGCTCAAGATTTATAAATGTCATTGACAGAATGGAAATAGTAAGAGGACTATAATAACCAGTTTATATACGTGTGTGTATATGCATGCGGTAATTCATATGTATCCTACAGCTTAAATTCATTGAAAGAGGCCATGTTGCTGTCTCTTATTTTTATAATTAATGGACCAGTTATGCTTCTGTTACCCGAATTTGCTCAAACTCTGATTTTCCAGTCTTCTGCAAACCCGAGTGACCATATGTCTGAGTTGGGAGACACTGGGAATCACCCTCCACCTGCCGTGCCTTTTAAATGTTCCCTCTTAGGGTCAGCCGGGACCACCAGGGCCACAGGGTCCCATTGGACCCCTGGGGCTGCCAGGCCCCATTGGAATTCCAGGAGAGAAAGGGATGAGAGGTGCCAGTGGCCCACCTGGAGCAGCGGGGGACAAGGGTGACAAGGTAAGCTGCTTTTTCAGTGAGAGATTTGTATGCACCAGCCTCCAGCACTACTGTGCCAGCTTTTGTTTCCTTGTTTGTTTTTGTGATCACCTGCTGGGGGACACACCACAGGGACTGTGCCAGTTTGTGTTATAACCACAAGTAGTACCTACCTGCACCTTACAACCAATTAAGTCTAAACTCCCTTTCCATCATCAGCCCTCATTCCCTAGCCCCTTTCAGGAGAAGCATGCCTTTCGGGACCTTTTCTATGTGCTTAAATACAGGAGTGTGCTCATGTATTCATTCCTTCATAGCTTTTTAAAAATGCAAATCATTACATGCATCATGTTGAATCTTTCTGTTTCACTCAACCACACAGCTGAGAGATCATTTCATAACAGCTTATGTAGATGAACCTTTTCCTTTGAAGATATTGCATATATGCCATATTATGAATAAAAGTATATAGTTTATTCCCTGTAGATGCAAATTTGAGACCCTATCCCTATTTTGTTTAGTGCCAGTGTGCAAAAACAATCCTGTGAATTAATAGTATTTATAGCTAAGAGTATATATCTCTAAGGTAGATAGATTCTGAGAATTTGCATTTTTTACCTTATAGGGTGTTAAACATTTTCTTTGAATTGATACTGCTTAATTGGCTTCCTAAACACAAAAAGAAAAGTACAAAAGCTTCATTCTTAAATGTTGGCATTTAAGCTCATTAATATAAAAAGAGGTGACAGTGGCTGCTAACGGGTTTTTTTTTTAATGTTTACAAATACACGAGTTATTCATGTTTTCAAGTTAATCAATTTGTTAATTTAATAATGTATTTAGTAACGTTTGTATTTTATATTTTTTGAAACTGTAGGGTCCTACTGGTGTTCCTGGATTTCCAGGTTTGGATGGGATACCTGTAAGTATCCCTAAATTTCCCCCAGATTTTTTAAAGAAGGGAGAAAGACAACACATCTTTTATTTTCTCATCTTAGTGCATGGGAGGGGGCTTGCATTTTAATTTTGTGTAATAACTCTGAGACCAAAACACTTTAGTTGAAGAGCAAGGTTTCAAACATTTTAGAGAAAAACATTCCAGAAGATGAGGTAGACACACTTGTCATGCCAACTTCCATGTTCTGGAAGTAAATGTATCCTCATAATGAAAGCTTTTATTTGCTGGTGAGTCCTAACAGTAGAAATGGGCTTAAAGCACCCATTTCTATTATGGAAACCAAATGAAAGAAGGGAGAGGTATTTTGGGGGCTTTTCAATTCATTAGAATTATAAAATCTTCCCTTTGTTAGGATTTCAAGGAAGAAGGCCTCCCAAGTCTCCGAGAATACTACAAACTAAATTAATTTAAATTGGGCTATATTAAAATTTACTTATTCATTTTTACTACACTACATAGTACTGTGGGTAGGAAAGAAAGTTTCACAAAATCATAAACAACCTGGAAGTCCCCTAATTTGGGCAGCCATCTGGCAGAAGCTTTGTGTTACAGTACTTGTGCAAAAATGCTTCACCTGTCATTTCGTTTCGTGTAGGGGCACCCAGGACCTCCTGGCTCCAGAGGCAGACCTGGCATGAATGGCTACAATGGCTCAAGAGGTGATCCGGGTTTTCCAGGAGAAAGAGGAGCTCCTGGCCCAGGAGGCCCCCCAGTAAGCCCCCCACAGCTCATCCTAATGGGAATCTTAAGGGAAAAGGCTCTACAGGGGGACATGTGTGATGTGCACAATACACAGAGTTCATACAAGCGTGCCAGGAGCATGGAGAACGAGTGGGGTGGCTGAAGGCTGAGGGTAGGGAGGTGGGCAGGACCCAGAACGCCTGGGGCCTTGTAGACTGGGAGGAAGCTGGCTTTCCTTTGCTGTGCCGTGGGAAGGCATGGGATGGCTTTAAGGAAGGGAGCAATGTGATCTGACTGATGCTGCACTGAGACGCTCTTGGCTGCTGTACAGAGAATGGGTAGCGGGGGAAGGGAGCCGGAAGGCCAGTTAGCAAAAGTTACACTGTGTTATCACTCAGGGTTCACTGTGGACATACATCCCTCTCAGTGTTTCAAACAGGAAGGAACTGAATATAGGGCACTTGGCACTTATCAGAATGGTTGGAGGACTGGAACTCAGGACCCACCATGAGATGGTGATTTCAAGGGTTCACACTTGGCGGAGACCCAGGCATGAAGCAGCTGCTCCTGCCTCTCACCCCCACGGTGAGACGTCTGCAAGCAGACACTCAAGTGTTTCCCATCCTGCTGGGCAGCGACGGTGCCAGGAAGGGGCGGTCCTCCTCACTTCTGCCTTTCAGATCTCATAAGTACATCTCCCAGGGGGAACCAGCCCACATCCAGCCGCAAAGGGGTCTTCAAAATGGAGACTTTAGCTTTCTCGTCCCTGTAATGCAATAAGATAAATGGGAGAGGCTGGGAATGGATGTCCAGAAGCAATAGACAATATCCAGCACTTGAGAAAACATTACTGCTCTTGCAATGAACTTGTGTAACTTATGGAATGAAGTGAATATATTTTCTGTGCTTTGGTAAGTTATGTACTCTTTTCTAAGTTCAGGGCAGCTTCTCTTGTGAACTCTCTCTAAGAACTCCTTTAACATGACCTTTTTTTGCCTGTGTCACTTTTTCTGGCACATCTGCATTCTTTCTGTCACAACCATTTCCCTTTTTATGTTGGTTAAGTCAGTCTTCACTAATTTCTCTGGCTCAAGTGACTGGAGTGTCAACATCCCCATGATCGGTTATTTCTTCTGTGACCCCATTTATGTGCTGTCTGCATATTGCCTCCAGCATGATTATTCTTCAGGTGTTACTTAATTTTCATCTCTGATGGCCAATTCCTTATTTCAGTGGTCTGTTTTTATGAAATGTCCTTTGGGTCTATCTCTGGGAGATAAGGAGCCAACACAACCACACACTTTGCTCTGTGTGCGTGTGAGTGAGACAGAGACAGCTCACAAGTGTGCAGTGACCAGCCAGTGACAGCCTTTGAAAGGAGGCGTGCGTGTGGTCAGTCCGGGATCATAGTTCGCATCTGCTCCTTCTGTAGTGATTGATCTGTGGGCAGTGGAGTGGTACTTTATGCAGTAAGTTAATAGACAGGGGTAATTGAAAATTCAAACCCTTTTGTTTGGAGGACTGGTGCTATTTAACTTCACTGTGGAACTGAAATGCACGCATACAGGAAGTGTGTGAAGTAAGGACTGCCTGTATAGGCAAATCTGATCTGATTTCTCAAAGAAATTGTTGATGGAACTTCCCATAAAACCCCTAAGCATCTGCCATTGGAGTTAAAACCAGGTACTTCTGTTCTGCGCAGGAGCTTACTATATAAGAGGCAGAATTTAGGCAGTAACCAAGCTGATATATTAAGATTTTAAGTAGAAAAACTTAGGGGAAAAAGGATACATTGAGTTAACTTTGGGGAAAAAGATACATTGAGTTATTTCATTCACTTCTAAAAATATTCTAAATATACTTGCCACTATGTACAAAAACCTTCCAAAAGGAATATGTCATGTTTCTAAATTTAATCTTACAAAAGATACCTAGGCTCTATTTTGAATACAAATACTGAAATGGATAAAATCAATTTTAGAAAACTATATACAGGGCATAAATTATTAACTGATAATTGCACAACTGTTGGCTTGTAAAAATAACATATGTGCATTATGTTGTGAGAGAAAATGCAATTTTCCTGCTGAATAATTAGTAAATTGTATATTATATAAACCTATATAAATATTACTAGGTATGTATAATACGTATGCATACTATATTAGTAGACACTCTGTTTTTGGAGAGTCCTTAATAGAGCTTAACTGAATATGGAAAAAATGTACATGAGAACCTTAGGATGAAAATAATAATGAAAAGCATAAAGAAATCTCTACTGGAGAAATGTGTCCATAATGGTAATTTTATTGGTGAGCAATATTTTATAAAGAAAAGAAAATACTGAAATAGTAATATGCTTTTCTCCTCCCTCCTAATTGAATATTTTGTTTTCAGGGCCTTCCTGGGGAAAACGGAGAAAAAGGAGATTCAGTGTTCATTTCAGGTGCCATTAAAGGTATACAGGTAAGTGTTAGGATCATGGTGGGTTAAATTTTTCTTTTTTCCCACAGAGGTAAACCTACTCAGCAAACACATGGACTGAGATTTCCTCCGGAATGTTCCTGAGCACATGGGCTTTCATCATGACCCCGACCCTCTGGGATGGCACCATATTTCTTGTGTAAAGGCACTTGGCTTTAGTTGCTCTGACTGTACAATTCCACTACTTCCCAACTATTCTCGCAGAGTTACAACAGATGCATTCATTTCAGGGTTTTCAACCTCGGCCCTATTGACATTTGGGGCCAGATAATCATTTGCTGTGGGGGCTGACCTGCGCACTGGAGGTCGTTGAACTGTGTCCCCGGCTTCTACCCTTCAGATGCCAGGAGCTCTCCCAACATACGCACACCTAAACACTATCTCCAGACACTGCCAAATGGGAAGTTAGAAGCACTGATTTATTTCAATGGTTAAAATATTTAAGTAGTTAAAATAGTATGATGTTAATGCTTGCCAGCCAGTATAATAGAAGTCCTCACTATGGAACTAGAAAACTATGGAAACTTTATACTGTCCTTGCCAAATTTAGTGCTGTTAGCACAGGATGATACACAAACATTCAGAAATAAACTCTTGAATAGCCATATCATCTATCTAATATCAGTAACCATGGATAAGCAGAAGATCAGTAGACAGGACACGTCAAGAGGAGAGAGGCAGTAGATTCTCAAGACATGACCATTTCTTTTAAGGAAGAACAACAGTTAGATAAAACTAGTCCTCGATTGTGTGTCTGTTAGACACTAAGTTCCATGCTACTCTCCGTGGGCACACCTGCGAGGCGATCCCTTTAGTGAGCTCACAGTATTTGTAGCTACTGTGCCTGTTCATACTTGCTTAAACAGCAAGAACTATGCTTTGGTTTATAAATTAAATGGCATATTATGAACAATATCAAAAGCAGGGTCATACTAGGAACCAGTATGCTGTATGGGAAGGAGTGAACTGGCCCTTACCTAGACTGTAGCTTTATGCAACCACCTCAACCTCTCTGAGCTTCATTTTCCTTGTGAGAGAAAATTTAAATAATATCTCTCTTGCCTTCCTCTCAGTGCTGAGGGTCCTTTATAATAATTTATATTGCAGTGCTTTATAACCTATAATGTATTGTGCAATATTATTTATGGTGAGTATTTTTTGGTAATTGTGCACAGAGAATAAGAGTGACAGAGGGGAAAGGACAGAAGGAAGTCCTCATCGTAAAGGGAAGCAGAAGATCCCCTAACAAAAGTGGTCTTCACGTCAATAACCTTGGAAAAACAATGATCATAAGAGCTTATATGCACTTCATCCCCATTCGGATGGTTATTTAAAACAAAACAAACCATGAAATAATAAATGTTGATAATTCCGTGGACCTGTGCATTGCTGCTGGGAATGTAAAATGGTAACAGGTGCTGTGGAAAATGGAATGGCAAGTCCTCAGAAAATTAAATGTAGAATTATGCTATCATCCAGAAATTCTACTTCCAGGTATATACCCAAAAGAAATAAAAGCAGGGACTTAAACAGATATATGTACACCCATGTTCATAGTAGCATTATTCGCAATAGTCAGAAGGTGGAAGCAGCCCAAGTGTCATTCGATGGGTGGAAGGATAAACAGAACGTGATCTATACATACAATATTATTCAGCCTTAAAAAGGAAGGGAATTTCAATACATGCTACAACATGGATGAACTCTGAGGTCATCATGCTAAGTGAAATAAGCTGGTCACAAAAGGACGAATGTGATTCCACTACATGAGGTTCCTAGACTAATTAGATTCATAGAGACAGAAAGTAGAACAGGTGCCTGCCGGGCCTGAGGGGAGGGAAATGGGAAATGGGGAGTTGTTGTTTAATGGCTGCAGGGTTTCTCCTGGAGGGGATGGGAAAGTTCTGGAGATGGAAGGTGGTGAGGCTGCACAACAGTGGGAATGTAGACAATGCCACTTACGCTTAAAAGTGGCTAAGTGTTAACTTAGGTGTATTTTGTAAGACTTTATGTTTTATATTAGAAAAAGAGCTTGTATTCAAGAGAATGTGCACCCTTTTATCATTTAAGGTAGGTAGTCTCCTGGCAGAATCACAATGCAGTAGATCTGGAGGGAGAAAATTTCCACACCAATTCCCTCTCCATCAACTCTAGGGTCATAAAAGGGAGCAGAGTGTCTGGAGGCAAGGCCCCGCAGTGAGACCAGAGACAGACTGGGGTGAAATGGGACCGGTGGGTTGAGAATTTAGAACATTTCAAATGGAAAGATGGAATCTCCTCTCGGTTCCACGTCAGTCTGTGTGGCTTCAGTTGCATAGAAGGAGAATCCAGGGCCTAAGAATGGAGGCAGATGGTCACCTCCACAGAGCCCACCCTGGTCTTTCCAACATGGAAAAAGTGAACAAACTGCGCTGTCTGAATAATCCTGTGTGTCCTCCTACTTGTACATCATGTGTGCTTTAGGGAATAGTGCTGTTCTTCTCAAGCAACGTGTCATTGCTCTTGCAGGGTGACAGAGGGGACCCAGGACCTCCCGGCTTACCAGTAAGTCTCCTGAGCAGGCTGTGTGTGCTTCTGTTTGCTCCTCAAATAGCCCCTGGCCCACACTGGTTTGTATCCCAGCAGGACTGGCTGTACAACTTGCAGGGCCCACTGGATGGGTGCTGGATGGAAATGTAGGTCCCTTGTTCAAAAGTTATTAAGAATTTAACATGATGACCACAGAGTATTCAATCAAGCACAGGAACTGTGAATGCATGGATCCCACATCCACGAAGCTACCTTTGAATCTCAGCAAGTTTCTACTTGCCTTTCTCCTCTACCTTTTAATGATAATTTAGTATTGCTCAGGTACAGATAGTCGCTTAATATTTAGGAAGATAAGTCTGCTTAGAAACAACCTAAATAATATATGTCAAATGGGAATGATTTTGAGCTATACCATTCTACCTGTTGAATCAGTCATTGTGTATTACATTTAATATTTTGTCCCATCTTCATCTCCCTGAAATTTGTAACTCAATGATTGTTTTAGTCTTTGCAATTAATCAATATTCACAATGCCTCCCAATGGTTAACTGTAATTTTGTTTGGGAGCTTCTGGCTGTAGACTGAATTACTTTCCCAGGTGGGGTTTCCTTACCTCTCCTGAAGCTCAGCTCTACATAATCAATGAGATTCCTTGATGTCACTTTTAAAGTAAGTACCAATTCATTCTGCAGAGAACAATTTCATTATACACTCACAAATCATTTGTTGTGGGCAGGGTCAGAGGTTGAACAGAGACTTGTTCCATACTTCCAGAAATGCCCAGCTAAAACCTGCCTTTGTGAATTGGTGCTTAGTTATGCCGCAAAAAAGATTGTTTATGTCTAAATCGTCTTGATCTTGAATTTGGGGCAATATTTCTATTCTCATTGATCTGATAGGGCATCTTCAAAATTTACATTAAAGAGTGTAAGTACATTCATATTTTAATATTAAGTTATGTTAATTAATAATATTTAAATCATCCTGATGTACTTCAAAGTTACAGCATATATGGAGTTTAGGAATAGCTGTTAATGCATTTTCTCTGTTCTCTGCTTTTGCTGTTACAAATTTATTAGTAAGTGAGTTGGTTGGTCTCTGGGTCTTACTTGCTCCTCGAGGTAGGGGTTTGTCCGACCGGCAGAGTGCAGTGCCCTGTAGCTCTGCCCTTTCGCTGTGTCCGAGCTGCTGTGAAGATGCTCCAGCCGGGCAGACATGTCCAGGCCTGTGATTTCTTTGGAGGTTTTTATCCACCTGGGACCACACACAGCTTCTGATGTGATTGATGATTACAGTTTTTGGTAACAAATGCACTGATTTTTCTCATGCTTAGGGACCTAGGGGTGCCAGAGGACCGGCGGGCCCAGTGGGCTCTCCAGGGGAGCCGGGGTTGGCAGTAAGTACAGCACTGTTCATCGTGTCCCTCTAAAAACCCAGGCTGGGTATATACATAAGGTAAAAAAAAGCAGCAAAATTGCAGTCTGGGGTTTGTCCCACCAGCAGAGTGGGGTTAGGCACAGGGGGTTCTTTCAGAGAGGACCCCCCGATTTATTGGTGCTCACCCACCACTATCAGACTCAGTCCATCCTGAAGCACAGGCCCCCCGGGAGACATGCATCCCAGCCACGATAGGAAAGACCGTCCCGTGTGTTTTGACATTAAGGGTTTCCCGAAGAGGGACTTGGAGCAGCCAACACACACACATTCTGACTTCTGTGACCGGTATTTGATTTGTGTGTTTTTGTCATTGATTTAGGGAACTCCGGGCCATCCTGGGAGTCCGGGTCTGAAGGTGGGCACCATGAATAGGATACAATGCATTAAGTGACCGCTGATATTTGTCAGAATTATGTTATTCCTCTCACTAGACTTTCCAAAACGTTTTACAAACTTCAACAAATTGTGTAATCAGAACCCCTACTTCCTTGTAATTACATTTTTACTCTTCAAAAGCAATTAGACATTTTTTTCTTTTTTTTTCCAGGGTAATCCTGGTGTGGGAGTAAAGGGGCAAATGGGAGACCTGGTAAGAATCCCCTTTTGCACAGAGGAGCAGTTGGTAAAATGGATGTGCTGCCTGGGTAGCGGAGCTGCTCTATTACCACTTAAATTGTATTTCTTATCTAGTTATCACCTAGTTTCATGGCTGAGAATTTTTTTTTTTGGCTGTATTATTATGGCACCATTATCCTTGACTGTCAAATGACAGTTCTGACAACATTTAACACTAAATTCAAAGTGAATTTATATGATGCATTTCACCCTAGCAAAAAAAGATTGAATATTTCCGATAATATGTCTGGAGTAACAATGTTGTTTAATTACTGATTTCTTTGGTTTACTTTAACAAATCTCCTCAGAATCTTAAACTCCACTCATAAAAGAAATTACAAGTACCTAGAACCAGTAGTGTTCAGAACCACATAATCTCCCACCCTCTCCCCAGCTCCCACCTCTCCCCTGCCTCCCTCACACCCATAGTCCTTTCTGTTGATGCATGCAGCGTAGCGGGGATAAGCTTTAGAAAATCACTTTAAGGTGACACCGCATCTGGAAGCAGAACGTCTAACCCCCAGTGAGTGGCGCTTTCAATAACTGTGGGCAAACAGGTATTTGCATCTACTCTGTGCCAGGCTGGGAGCTGTTCTATTACCACTTAAATTATATTTCTTATCTAGTTATCACCCAGTTTCATGGCTGAGAATTTTTTCAGTGCTTGATGTGGGGATTTAGTAAGACAGACTGACCTGCATCTCATGGAGTCTCAGTGTGATGGGGTGGTCAGGGTACAGCTGTTCAACAGAAAGACACGATTGCCGAATACACACTGAGAGACTTCATGATGTGGGGAAAGCCTGTGATTTAACGTTAAGCAGAAAGTACGGGTTACAAAAGTGTAAGCTCAATTTTGTAAAAACAAGAGAAAGACATTAAAATATACACTTAGAGCAAGTAGGCTTTCTTCCCTTGACTCTGCTGACATTTCACTGTCACGGGGGCAGTCCTGTGCCTTGTAGGAGTTTCCGCAGCATCCCTGGCCTCTACCCACTGGACGCCAGTAGCTCCCCTTCCTGCCAGTTGTGACAAACAAAAAGGTGTCCAGACCTTGTCACATGTCCCTGGGGGGAGGGCACGTCCAATTGCCCCCTTCCTTGAGGGCCACTAACACAGAGAAATGACTGAAAGAAAATATACTAAAACACTGTTTTTTAAACTTGGGAAGTCATGGGCCCCTGGGACTATGTTTGTCGGAGTCCCAGAAGCCCAGATGAGAATCGCCACACTGTGGTGTGCGGTGGGCACTGACACCCTAGGGACCTCAGCCCCTGTGCCAGGAGGTGCAGTCGCAAGCTCAGGCCATAGACAAATGTGGAAATATTTGGCTATAAAGCGGCCATTCAAATTATCCAAAATATGCTTGTTTCAATCCTTGTGGATTGTCAGGTGAATAAAAGCATACTTGGAAATTTTGATGCAGGATTCTCAAGTGTTCAAGACCATGTTTGCCCATCCCACTTTAAGAAACACATTTAAGCCCCAAATAGTTGTAACTAATTTTTCTAAGTGATCTTCTCTGTACTTTTGACTATTTGAATATATGGCACTTTTATAATATGAAAAATAGTGACATGACCAACATTTTGAAGAAACTCCTTCCTGGTCAGCCTTTATGGGTTTTGCGCAAGCATTTTCCAGCTGCGAGAATAAGCCTGTTTATCTTTACTGATCCATTACGCATTGACATGTGTATTGTTCATGCTTTTGTGTGGTCACTTATTCACACTACAGGCATCTTTAGGGCAGTTGCTACACAAACACTGTGGAGGTTCTGGGGTACACTGAGAGAACAAAACTTATATCCCTGCCTCCTGGGCCCTCTGTGATTTTCCAGGCTTAGGGATTGAATTATTGGTTGTATTTTTTTTCATTTAAACTGGAAACAGTATTCTTCCCCAATCCCACTTATCAAAAACATTAATGGTTTTAATAATTATGTATTTGAGAATGTTCTTTTTTCCAATCATTGTCATAATAAACATTTTACATATGTCATCTAGTCAATAAAATAATACTTTGAGGCAGGCAGTATTATGCTCCCCATGTCCCAGAAAAAGAAAATGAGATTCCGAGGAATTAAGGAAATAAAGGCCAGGAGAGATTTTAAGAAACTTGCCCAAAATGATGCTCAGAAAGGGCATAGTTTGCAAACACAGGTGACCTGCTCTACCACCCGTTCTTAATTATGACACAAGAGTGGAGATAATTTTTAAGTGTAGAATAATAGAAATATTCAGAAAAGTACTGAATAACTATTTTACAATTAAGGGTGAGAATTTATGGTTGTAGCTTGGCAAACCTAATTCAAGGAACATTTCCTTCTCTAAGAGAATAAGATCTGTAATTATGTAAGGGAAAACATTTGGCTAATTATTTTATACCGAGTTTAAAAATATTGTTGAAAATAAGTTAGAAATGACCTAAATCTAACTAAAGTCTTAACCAGAATGGAATGGCTTAATAAATGTTAGTATATTCTTATGGCAGATTATTGTAAAGGCACTAGAAACCAGGTTTCTGAAGAATTGCTAGTATAATAAGAAAATCTGCAAAAAAAGTTTTATAAAATAAAAATAGAGAATTATTGAAAAACTTAAAAGTTAAATGGAATGTAAAAACATAAACCATATTCTGTATTTTAAATTTTGTTTACATATTTTATATAGTATTATTCTGATTGTATTTTAAATTGTATTTAACACATCATTTGATCACACATGTGGATGTGTATATGAATCTCATGCAAATGCAGAGACATACATACATGTGTGTATATACACATCTATAAGCACAAACACCACAAACACCACAAACATCAATACCAAAATTTTAATAGAGATTATCTCTGGATGGTAGGGTTACAGATCACTTCTCTTTGTTCAGTTTACTTAGCAGTAGGATGTATTATGAAAATCTGTAAATATTCTAAGTTACATAATGTATTTGCCATGATTTTTATTTTAAATCCATGATACAGGATCATAAGCATTACATCACAATACACTGGTGAAAATCTTATTTGTTTCCAGTTTTATTTCAAAATAAAGTTAATATGAATTCATATTATCTTGAATTTTTTTTAAAGGGTGAGGTTGGCCAGCAAGGTTCTCCTGGACCCACCTTATTAGTACAGCCACCAGATTCTTCTCTGTATAAAGGAGAAAAGGTAATTCCCAACCCATACATTACCTTGGTGAAATAGTAACAGCCAACATTTTCTGAACCAGTGTCAGTAAAGTGCCAAGCACCTCCATGCGTCACTGCATTTAATTTCTGATTAACCTTGACAGGTTGGCACTATCAGCCCCCTTGTACAGAGCTGAAAAATGAGGCTTGGAAAGGTTACTAGTGTTCCCAAATTTACCCAGCTGCTAAGCTGCAGACCTGACTTGAGCTGCTAAATTGTGACCATCCTCCAGAACATAGTGCCCATTAATAGTATCTTTGATAGGCTGAAAAGGCCACTGAAAGTCCACTTGTTCTTTAGATGTTACATATGCACTTGATGTTTTGATAATTAAAAAGGTAACAGGTGCATAGAACTCTTGGCAAATGCTAATTCCTCTCTCAGCCTCCAGTACTGGTGTTCCTGGTTCCACATGCAGAATCTATTGTCAATTTTCAATTGCTGGATTACATGTTACTAATTTGCTCAAAATGAGCCACTCCTCAGTGGCTACATTTCCAGCTTGTACCTGCTGCCCTGGTTCCATGGTGGTCCCCCTGCTGAGCCCCACAACACTGGACCTCTTACACATAACTAACTTGAACAAGTGTGCCTGGATCTAATCTCTAATTTAAAAAAAAATTAATGAGATGGTTTTTGAAAGAGGTCATTTCTGAAAGAGTTGGAATTAAGATGTTAAATAATAAAAATAAGCCAGATTATATTCATTGTGATTTTTAGGGTCTAAAAGGAATGCCTGGTATAATTGGACCTCCAGGACTGCCAGGACCTAAGGTAATTCACTGAGGTACCCTATGTTATTTGTATAATGCACTATTTTGATTAATTTTTTATTCTTGCATGGTTTTTATCATTGCTTAAAATGCTGATCTGCATCACTGGGATTTTTTTTCACTATTTTATCATAATCCCATAGGGCATCTGCTCTAAAGTGGTTGTTTTATTTAAGTTGCTGGCAATAATTTTTATTTCTTATTTGGTTTTTGAATTCCACATGGCTGAAATGTTGTTTGGGCCCCTCTCAATGTTGCCGTCTCTTTAAGGGAGAACCTGGTATTGGGACAAAAGGAGAGAAAGGTGTGCCTGGGTTCCCAGGGCCTCGGGTAAGAATCGTTTCATGTTATCTTAACTGCAGTGAGTTTGGAGGTGTTTCTCTCTTCCCTTTTCATAAAACAAGACCAATATATCTGAGATTTTCTCAAATAGGAACATGCTAGTTTGGACAACAGGAATTGTGTAACAGCTGAATGTCCCAATGGGACATCCCTTCTGTTGACATCACTTAGATAAAACAGGCAAGTGGATGATAGAAGAATTGGTAAAAAAACAATAGGATTGTGGCATTTCCTACCTGGCTCGGAGTCAGTGTGATAGTAGCTTAGAATTGTTAATTTAAGCCTATTTGGTAAAAGAAGACACTGCTTTAGGGGTAGTAGCTGGAAAAAAGCATGGCATCAGGCCTCAGACTCCGCACCCATGACTGATGGGATCCCCGTTTACAGAGTCACTGTGGAGGTCGGGCCCCAAAGGACGCGGGCATTGAGTTTATTGTCTCTGCGGTAGTTTTGGCTTCCAGCACTGGCTTCCGTGGTAATTGTATTGCTGATACTGCATAGAGCATCTATGAATCTCTGGACAAATTGTATTACAATGATTTCAAGAGTATTTAGCCTAGTGCAAGCATTAAGTTAACTAAATTAAAATGAAAGAGCAACAACAAAAATACATTCTTTAAACACTGGTGAGGGTACACATTTTAAAAAATAAAACTAAAAATCAGTTAAAAGAGCAAATGTTAAGAAATGAAGTCTATTTTCTATTTATTTCCTTTTGTTGTTACCTTTGTGGATGAGATTAAAAGTCCATGGAGCAATTTCAAAAGGTGAAAAATGGTGCTTTGAACTGGTTCATGCATTTTGACCTAATTCTGCTTGTGTTGATTTTTGTGAATGTATTAGGGTGACCCTGGTTCCTATGGATCTCCAGGTTTTCCAGGATTAAAGGTAAATGTACACCATTATAGAGAAGATAAATGCATTTTCATTAGTCGATACATTTCACTATCACTCAAAAGTTGTAACAGGGCATGCAAGCATGCACACAGTAGTTGGAGAGGGAGCCACATTCATTTTTATGAATTGCATGATTTAGCTGTAGGCACAAGAACTAAAGCACACCCGTCTGATGCAACCTAAAAGCACTTTTAGATTTTGCATAGAATCTCAGTGAGCGTGTCATGTTCAAATTAAATGAGAATGAGATCATTTGTTACCCACTCACATTTTTTTAAAAAGCATGTTTGTGGTTATTTGTAGGGAGAATCAGGACTGTTTGGAGATCCTGGACCATTTGGATTTCTCGGCCCAAAGGTGAAAATGTGAGGCTAGCTGATAAAATTCCACATCCCTTATGTTATCTCATTTATATAAAAAAACACTTCAATCATTCACAAATGTAATGCTTGAAAGAGAGAGTTCATTTTGCATATATTAACACATGTTGTAATGATTACATTTTACATTTGAGAAATATCTTTTTGGAGGTGAATGATAATGAAAGTTTTAAAACTTCCGTGGGGATTACCTAGAATCAAGATTAAAATCAGAGGGAGCCATGGGAAGCTCTTTGCTATCACCCCTATTACATTCTTCCCTTCCTTTATAGCCTCTGTGACCTCACATTCAGCATGTGCTCAGGACAAGCCATGGGGACATTAAGGGGACACAATTAAGGAGGACATATGTCGCTAAAATAAAATGCAGACTCAGATCTTATAGATGAAGATTTGTTTCATAACCAAGGTAGATATCAGTATATCAGTGCTCATAGCATATCTAGGAAATGTCATGCCATCAGAGGTACCTAATTTGTAGGCATGGGATAATTTTTTGGAATTTAATAAGTTTTTTCCCTTTGTGAGAACTTTGCCAGTTGGTTGTTTACCCTGGCTTGTAGGTGGGAGGCTGGACACCTTCATATTCCCAGAAGTCCCAGAACCATTCATTTCTCTGGTCAGCCTGTAATCCTTACTTCTAATATGAATGCACTCTTGGTCCTTCCAATATTTATTTAGCACCAGGCAACATGAGGAAATATTATTTCTATGAAAAGTGAACGAATGAATGATTTCAGGGCGACCCTGGAGACCGCGGGTACCCAGGACCACCGGGTGTTTTGGCAACTCCGTCTCTCCCACTCAGAGGTTTGTGTGCTGGGCAGTTGGTTCACTAGGACGTGGGATTGGAGCAGCCCTGGCAGAAGTCTGGCCCAGCATTCCATAGTTTGCACACTGGGCACGCTAAATACATGCACTCACCGTGAATATGTAATTATACAAATGCAAGTAGGAATGTGCAGCTTGGATCATCTCTACCAGTATAGGACATTAAATTTTATTTTAGTATGTAAACTATGTGCTGGGATTTTTATTGTGTCACCTTTCAGAAAGTAGTTACTTTTAATTGCCAAAAAAGGTTTCAAACCATTTGATTAAGACCTACCAAGATGCTACCTCCAAGAAAAGAGGGGCCGAAGTCAGTGACAGAGCGCACCACTCGATATTCATGTATCTGCAGAGAGGGAGCAGCGGAAGGGGTTCAGGCCTGAGACATTGCACTTAAAAAGGGTGGGGGGGGGGAGACTGCAGAAGTTTCCTGGTTGTGATCCACCGAGCATCACAAAAAGTGATTGTATGTGCATTTGTAGATGTGGATATATGTTTATTACATTGACGTGGGTCATTATTTTTGGCAGGCCCTCCGGGGGATCCAGGGCTCCCTGGCCGCTATGGAGAAATGGGGGTGGTTGGACCCCCTGGCCCCCCTGGCCCCCCAGGGGCACCAGGGGAAACCTGTGCAGGTATGAATCCAGTGGCTTTTCCATACCAGGTTTTCTCTGTCCTCATCCACACCAGCATTTCTCAACTCTAGCTGATATTGAAGCCACCTCAGCATTTCAGATATACTGATGGGTGTCCCTACCCCAGACCCGAAGGTTGGACTCTGTGGGGGATGGATCCAGGCATCTGCTATTATAGGAGTGCCCCCGTATTTCTAATGTCCAGCTGGGGTTAAGAACCACTGAACCCAAGCCAATTACTTGCTCGCTTGGAAGTAATACAAGTTCCTGGGATGCAGTTCAAAAATATTCAGTTGGCGTCTCAGGGCTGGGAGAGGAATATGTGTGTTCGTCAGGTGCCCCTCAAGATTATCACATGTGAATAAGACTGGAAACTGGTGCTGGACGTGGAGTATTTTGTCAGGTCTTCGCACCCTCTTGGCAGGCTCTCCTTATTGACATCTGCTTGTTAAATGTAGTTCACCCACCTAGACCCCAACTTAAATCTCCTGCATGAAATGTGGAAATACAGATTACAAACCAAAAAAGAAAACTTTGATTTAGCTTTAGTCACAAAGAACAACAACAGCAATAAAACAACCATCCTCTCTCCACTAAAAAAATTAGCTCCCTCGCACCAAAGAAAAATCCCTGCTTCTCATGGCAGTGTTAGATGAAAGGCCCTTGAAAAGTCCTGTTGACATGAGGCCTTGGAGGTCCTTCAAGTGCCATGCTGGGCACCATTCCTAGTAAGATAAGGGAAAGAAGTTTAGAGGATTTTTGCATGCTGTGAACCCAGGAGAACTGATTAAACATGTGAAGAGTAAAGACTTGAATAAATGTAATTTTATCCAGTCTGTGTCTCTTGTTATATTTCCTGAGAAGGAGGAAGAAGTCCTGAGATAGTCAACTCTTAACTACAACATTCTTGTGTCATCTTCTGTGAATCTAGCTTCCGCTTTGTAGGATCTGATGATCACAAAGGTAGTTAAACTTTGTTTAGTTCATTTACTATTTAGATATTGTAGCCTTGGCTTAATTGACCCAGGACTATGTAAATCATAAATAGAGTACTCTATCAGCCAGGAAACACGACTCTAGCCTTAGATTTCTCCTTTCGGGCTTGTTTATAAGGAAATATTGGCTCCAAAAGTTTGAAATCAAGCCCAGTGGGAGTAATATACATCTCTAGCAGACTCAAACCCATATATAAAAGAAAGGATGTTAATTCCACAAGAATTTTTAAAAGAACTAACCCAGTGGCTTTCAAATCTTGACGACAACCCATAGTGAGAAATTCATTTTATATTGGATTGCATTAGCTTACATTATATACATATATATGTATCCTCATTATATATATATATATATATGATTCAAATACAAATTTCACAAAATAATACCTTTTGGTATATGATGTACTCTGTTTTCTATACCATCATTTTCTTTTGAAAAAAAAAACTTAATGCTGGCCACACCCTAATTGATTCCATGGGTGCAGATGGGTGCTCAAGGCTGCTGCAGGCCATGCCCTGTAACCCATTCTCCCTGTTGGAAGGTAGCCGAGCATTCTGCTTGGTGCCAGGACAGGAGAGCAGGTAACATCCAGGTCTATCCACTGACTGACTGTCGAGTTACCGAGTCAGGACTTAGGAGTGACATGGAGATAAGGTGGCAGACAGGTCCACAGGAGTGCATTTCATTTTGTTTTGGGTATGCCAGTGTATATAGTCTTTACTAAACATTTTTATCTTATAATCATCTATGGTATTTGCCATGAGATAAGCAGGGTTTTGGAGTCAGATACCCAGCCTTGCCACTTAATGAAATAGTTATGTGTTGGCACTGTGGAATAAAAGCATTCCAGGTTCCATACTTAACAAGCTGTGTGAGCTTAGGCATTTATCAAACCTCTCAGCACCTCACTGTTCTTATCTGCAGAATGGAGTTCTTGTTAGGGTTTAAAGAAGTGATACGTATATGGTTCTTAGAACACAGCCTGGCATATAGTAAAGGCTCACTGTGTTAGATATTGTTATGGTTACTCATGTTTGGCTTAAATGTTCTATGCCTTATTTATAAGGCAAAACTTCACAGGGAAGTATGAGGAGTAAAGGTAATGTTTGAAAAAAAGCCCAGCAAATATGCCTACAATAATGAAAGACATGAATTTAACTAGCATGCTGCATACTGATTACTGAGCAAGGCTTCAGTTGTCTATTGCTGAACAAATTACCCAAAACCTAGTGGCTTAAAATAGCAACAATCGGTGTATTGTCCCTCATTCTTTCTGTGGCTCAAGAATTAGGAAGAGCAGAGCTGAGCTATTCTAGATAAGGGATTTTATTATAATCACGGCCTTCTAGTGGCTGGAACTGGAATATGAGGACTGGCTGGACCTCCCTCCCCTGTATCTCTCATACAGTCTCTCAGCCTCTCTGTGGGGCTCTGTGCTTAATTTTGGCTTCCTTACAGCATGGTGACTCAGGACCCCAGACCCAAGACAGAAGCCGAGTCACCTTTAACAGTCTAGCCTTGGAAACCATATGCTGTCACTCCTGCTGTACTTCATTTGTCCAAACAGTCAGGAAAGCGCTCCACATTCAGGGGGCTGGGGACATTCCACCTCTTGCTGGGGGAGAGTCAAGGTTCTATAAGAGCACAGAGGGATAAGAGCCACCTCATGCCGTCTCTGAAAGCTATACTGTTCCACAGAGAGATTCTGGAACTAGCCATGCTTACTAGGGAAAAGAAGCTCTGAGAAATGGTCACTCTCCTGCAAAGTCTTCTAGCTGTCTTTAAGCCAACACCACCGGCAAGGGGGATTAGGATGTCAGGGGGAAGCAGGGTTTAGCTGATTCTGCATTACTCGCTTTGACCTGCTCTCAACACACAGAACATCTCACTATTCACAGTGCATGTGCTATTACCAGACAGTGCACTAAGCCCCTTACATGGCTTATTTTATTTGATCCTTATAACAAGTCTGTGAGGTAGGCATGGAGGATGAAAGAAGTTAAATGACCTACTGAAGTACCTGTGTCTGGAGAGGGAGAAGCCAGGTCCATACCCAGCACCTCTATCCTTCCCCACCGCTCTAGGTTGCTATGAAAGGTGTGGTATTTTACGTCCAACATACACGAATGCATGAGTCCATATTTTTATTCACGAAACATGCTGATATGTTTATTCAGATTATTTTTTTTACCAAGTTATCAAAGTGGAAATATTGAAAAATAATAATTTTAATTAAATAAAATATTTCTTTCCCAATAACCCCAAGAATGGGGAAAAGATCAGGAAATCTGATTTTCCAAAACTGGTAGTTTCCACGTGTGTGCATATTTCAAAGAAGGTGGGGTATTTTGATGGCTGGGATATTCAGTTATTTTTTAACTACACTTTTTTTCCCCCTTCAGAAAATTCCCCTGCTTAGGGAAGAAAGTACTGAATTTGATTGCTTCTACAGAAAGTATGCTCTGAGAGATATATGTGGTTTTCTCTCTTGATTTCTCTTGGAGGCATGATGGGACCCCCTGGGCCAAGAGGGTTTCCTGGTCACCCAGGACCCCCAGGGGCAGCCGGTATTCCTGGGAGAGCTGATTCTGCTCCGGGAAAACCTGGGAATCCGGGACCACCAGGGTTGCCTGGAGCTCCAGGGCTGCAGGGCCCCCCGGGATCAGATGGTAAAGTGCTTGCTCCTCATTCACTTTCATTACTATTTATGTTTTATTTGATATTTTCAGTGTCATTCAGAAAATGTGACTTCATATTTTTAAAATTATCTAGTATTTTGTGAGCCAAGTTAGTAGTAGTAATAATATAAAAAAGTAAAGTGATGTTGGACTACCATGTCAATCAAGCATATGAAAATATTTGGTAGAGAATTCAAGGGTGAATGATAGACTTTTGTACATTAGTACCACTTAAATTTTTTAAATGTAGTTTTAATTTGTATCAGAGTTTTATATAGACCTGGATTAAGAGTCAAACAGTTCTGTGAAGCTTGTTGTGAAGGACTACTAACCCAGGCAACCCCTTCTGCTAGTCCTTCCTCCCCAGGGGCATTTATTGCCACACAAGTCATTGGATTTTTTTGTTTTTTGCCTCTCAGTATTGCCATTCAATGTACTTGCGTTGCTATTTCTTGCTTTTCCAGTTTGAGCATTATCCTTTGATTTAACCTACTCTGTAGGAGATGAATTATCTTTGACTCCCCTTCACCACATATGTGCACATTTTCTCCCACAACCTATCGGTACCATTACTATCTTAGAGTTACTTCAATGAGTATTCAGTGTTTGCACTGAATGGTTTTATAACTGTTACCCACCAGCTCAGTCATGTAATAATACATATTATTAATTTTATAGCACATTTTGTTAATAATTGTCTCGTTTCCTTTGTGTTTGCTTGATTTTCAATATATCTATTGCTAATTCAACCTCAAATCATCTAGATGTGTATAAATCTTCATTCTAACTTAGTAAATATTCTATCAGTATTATCTCTTTGAATAAATCTCTGCTGGAGCTTTATGATTTGTTTAAAATAAGTCAGGTTGTCATTTTAAGCTGCTGCTGAGACACCGTCTTGAGATCTTCCTTCACCATTAACCTGGGAATCCTCTTTTTCTGTCTCTGGGTCCTTTTGACTGCTACAACTATATATTTCTTTCAATAGTTTACTCCCTCATTATACTTCCCAATTAAAGGTGTAAATTTGGGGGATCTTACTTGTCTTCATATATCTTTAGTTTACTGTGGAATTTGGTTGATAGTTTGGTGAGTGTAGAATTCTATGTTGGAAACATTTTCTCTCGGGTTTTTGAAAGCATTTTCCATTTCTTTCTTATAATGCTATTGGGACATTTAATAACATTTAGATCTTTGATCCTTCATGTAAAATCTGTTTTCTTCTCTGAAAGCTTATAGGAATTTTTCTGTTTGGGATAACTTTAAATTTTATAATGATTTGCCTTTAGGTAGGTAGTTTTGCATTTATTTGTAGGCACTCAGCAGTTTTGATCCAACACAAATCCTTCATTTATGGAAAAAAGAGTCTTGAAGTATTTCTTTGAAGGCATTCATTCTTCATTTTTTCCCCCATTTTCTCTTTCTAGATGCGTGTATATTTGTCTGTTAGAGGATCAGTGCTACGTGACTCTTTTTCTGATCTTTACTACGTTTTTTATTTTTCTGTAATACTTTCTGGTTGACTTCCTCAGCTCATTCCTCCAACTCTGCTCCTGGATTATTAAATTTCTGCTTTCATAACCGATTTTTTTTTAATTTCCAAGGATTTTGTTGTGGCTGTTGTTCTGGTTTGATGTTCTCTTTTGCAGCAACTTGTTCATGTTTCAGGCATGAAATGCCTTCCTTCATCTGCTTCCTAAATTACATGGGCTCTTTTAAAGTTTTCTTATTACTGCACTGTTTCTCCTAAGTTTGAGGGGTTGCTGCAAAATTTGAGAAGGGGATCTTATCATTTAACTGTTTCTTCGGCCCGTAATCCTGTTTGGGGTCTCACTGTCATTCCACTTCCAAAGCACCAATTCCTGAAACTGGGGAGAGATTTCTCATGTAAACTGTGTTCTTTCTCCACGTTCCCTCACTGCCTACTTAGAATTCAGCTTTTTAGGGTCTGCCAAGTCCTTTTACATTTTTTTGTTTTTGTTGCTAGTGTTTTCTTTCCCCTTTTCTTTGTTCTGTGGAGCTTATACCTTTTTACAATACTCTTCAACTGTTATTTTACTGGGATTTGGGCAAGAACAAAGAACTTTTTGTTTGCATTCTTTCTATATCTTAAAGCAGGTGTCTGAATTTTTGCTTTCATAAGTCATGCTTTATGCTTTCTTAATTTGGTCACTGTTGATACTTGAAGGGGAGAAAAGGATGTTTGCCATACATATACTCTTAGTTTTTTGTTTATTTGTTTTGTTTGGGTATATTTGTTTATCTTGCTGTCTATTACTTGCATTGCAGCCCACAAAATTAGGGCTGAGACAGGAAAAGCCTTATCAATGATTATGGTGGCAGAATAAGCTGTGGCAATTGTATGGTCTATTTTTGTTTATATCCTTATGTCAGAGAAAAAGAATCATAGGAGAGAAATGGAAGACAGAATGGGTTGAGGGGAAGATGTGAGGATGTGAATATAGAGCAATTCTACTTGTTCTATAGAAGACATGCACCAAAGCCATGTGATTCTCTCTTCCCACCCTCTTCCCCAATGTAGTTATCTATTGCAGAATTGGGCACCCTGGACCACAAGGAATAAAAGGCATAGCGGGTCCTCCAGGAAGCAGAGGCTCAAAAGGAAAAAAAGGCAAGTATACATCAAAGGTACAAGTTCTAGAGGACAATAACATATGCGAGATTGGGAGGCATGTATGAAATACACAGCGTGGCATCTCACATAGATTCATTACTTGCCTTAGTTACCACTATGAATACTTGTCTTCACTACGTGCTTATGATGTGATTATAACCTACCAAAAATAACTTGTGTCTTAGAGTATAAAGGAAACACTCACCTGCTCCACAATTTGTCTCAAAGCGGTGACTTTTTTCATAAGGTCCTCCTGATCCCTTGAAAGAAACAGAGACAGGACAGTTACCAATCTTTATTTCAGGGTCTCATTTTAACCAGACTCACCAAATGCCTATCCTCTGTGTTCTTAGACCCTAAATTGTTTGGTGCCTTTTTGACCAACTGAGTCAGTTGGGTATGAGAACAGAGACACAGCAGAGGAGTTTAACTATTGTAAAGACATTTTTAGACTGAAAGTGCTGACGATT